CCGAGTGAACAAAATTCATTCAAAACAAAACTTTTTCAACATAATATTGTATTAAATGTATAGCAAACTACACTTAAAACAATACTTGAGTTACTCTACAAATAGAAGAAAAGAGCACGTAGGTTCATTTGCTGTAACAATCAATTTTTATTTTATTAAATGGAGACGTAAGCTTCAAAATATAATTATCCTTTCCATAATGAACATTACATTTTCAATTACAACTTCTGTAATTTGTGATTGTCGAGGGTCTATCGTAAATAGTCTCTCTATCTTTATAAGGTAGGGATAAGATCTGTATGCACACTACCCTCCACAGACCCCATTTATGGGATTACACACTACATAGGGTTCGTTGTTGTTGTGAGCATGTGATTTTTGCCCTACTAAAAATATTCCTACAAAGATAAAGAAATAGAGTTTTTCCAAAAAAAAAATCAATTTTATAGAATTTTTGTAGGATTTTATTAATTGTTTGCATTTTTATGCAGGTTTAATTTTGTTAAAATCATGAAAAAATGCCCCAAAAATGTCAAAATATCATGCATTGCATATTAGACTTTGTGTTTATATTTTAGGATTAATTGGTTAATTAATTTCTTTATTAAAATAAAAATCACAAAATATATCATTCATTTTACATTTTTAGCTTTTAATGCTAGATTAGTAATTTTTCCTTCATTAATTTAGGTTTAACCAATTTTGTAATTATTATAAATAGATAATTAGTTTGATTTTATAGGTTAGATTAATTTAGAATTTAATTTAGGACTTAATTAATTTACTTAGGGTTTTAAAATTAAAGAGAAAAAAAAAGAAAAAAAAAAGAAAAAGAAAGAAAAAGCAATTAAAGAAAACAAAATAGAGGTTGGTATATCAAATTTGGGCCACCCGGAGACCAAAATCTGGTGGCCCAATTCCCTTTTACCCGTTCAAAACCAAGCCCAAAGACCAGTCCACCCGGTCCGTTTCTCACTAACCTAAAACGACGGCGTTTCCCCGTCTTTCAATCACAGCCGTTGGATTCTTTGACCTAACGACTCGGAACTGATTGACCATCTCCTTTAAAATTGTCCGAAGACACCCCCAAACCCTAAAATCTCTCTCACTTTTGTCTCTATACCCTCTCACAAAGAAACCCTAGCCGCTCTCTTACCCCTCGCCGGCTCCGCCTCTCTCCACCGCCCGGAAATCGCCTCATGGTGGCGGACCACCTCCAAACTCCACCAAATTAACACCCCATGACCGTCTTTACATCCTCTTTCCAAATATCACCACGGTTCCCTTCGAATCGGTCTCCAACCCCTCGAATCTTAGATCTGAGACCCCAGAAACCCTAACTTTCCCTTTTCAAATATTGGTCAGTGTTGGGTCATATGAACCCGAGACGTCCATTAGTCGATTGTTCTTGTTAAGAACAGTCGATTAATTGTTGTATAAGTTCATATTTTCCCCTTTAAAACCGGTCAAGTTCGTGTCTGGCTATTTCAACATGAACTTGAGGTAGTTCCTTTTTCCTTTTCCTGTTATTTTTATCTTTATCTCCTTTCCTCTCTCATGATTCATTCTCTTTGTTAAACCCGCATGAGTTAGTTTTAAGTTCTTTATTGCTTTTTTTTTTTGGAATTTGCATGTTTGTTTCATAGTTTAGATCAATTAAAGCATGCTGAATGCCCTAAGTGTTTGAAGTTTAATTTCAATTGTCTAAGGTTAGGATAATTAGGTTTAATTTTTTAGGGTTTTGGTAAAAATTTGACTGTTCTGTTTTTCTTTTGTGTTTTGTTTCCCTCTTATATTTGTTTGCTTGATATTCGTTATTTAGTTTGAAATTGATTAGAATAGTTTTAGGAGTTCAATTTATTTGGCCAATCTCTGACTAGTCATTAGAAAACCTTAGCTTTAGTTAATCTGTTTAATTGCAAACTAATTAGGTCAATTTCTAGGTCTCTTTGCATTAGCATTCTGTTTAGTTACTGTTTAGCTACAAGTTTAAAATTTAGTGTTTATTCAAGATTAATTAGATGAACTTATCAATTAGGTTTAAATGGTTAGAATTAAAGCTTAGATACCTTAGACTTTAGGATAATCTCATAAATGAAGGGTAAATGCCCCAAGGTTCTAAGTTGTTACAAATTGAAGCAAACTTAGAAACACTAATCACTTAGCTGGTTCTAGAAGGTCCTAAAGGGATTTCTGGAATCAAAATAGGATCAAAATATAGGTTGAAACTGAAATATTTAGTAAATGAAAGGGTAAAACTGGTTTTACATAAGGTAAAAATCAGAAGGTTCTAGCATTTTGTACAGTTGTCCCCATTTCTAGCATGAAAAAGGTTGGAATTGGGCTGAAAAAAGGACAGACAGTTGTTCAAATATGTTGTACTATCTGACAGTTAAGGAATTTAGGGTAGAATATGCCATTTTGATGCTATTATGGCATACAATATAAAAGGAAAGTTATTCCTTCATTCTAGATGGAGTTCATTAGCATATCTTGACCTAAAAAATTTCAGAATACAAAGAAAAAATCCCTGAAACTTTTCTGGCTAAAAACTTCAATTTTCTAGTTAGATTTGTAGGCTAGTTTTTCTGGTACTCTGATTTTTGAGGAGTTTGAGTGGTCGATCCTTGATTTTCTGGGCTGTTTTCTACTGCTGCTGTTGGTTTTGGTTGTTGCTCCATCTCTAAGATTTCAGCCAGCATTTTCACTTGTTTTCCTGTTGATTTTACTTGTTAAGGTACTGATTTTAGCTCTCTTAATGTACTATTTTGTTTGAATAAGATCACAAGTTGCAAATTATATGTAATGAATGAGTGTTCTTTCATGTAGTATTTGATTAATTTGTTATAGATCTAGTAAATTTTTACTATGTGAGTTTAAGTGTAGAAATGAACTAGCATGAGCACTTTGTTTGGTTTACTAATACTTGTAATTCCCTCTTTGAAAATGGCCAAGTCTGAAATTTTTAAGTCAAAATCTTATACTGATTTTGAACTTTGATTGTTGAAGTTGTCTTTCTTTTTTCTTCTACTCACATGATAATAACATAGTGCTTTGTTTGAGGTAATGTGGCATATGGGCTATAAATTGTGGGTTTAGCCACTATTTGGCCAAATCAGCATGTGTTAAAGCCCAAAAACTGGATTTGTTGTTGTTATTGTACTGAAGTTGAGAGCCTCATATTGGTGAACTAAGCTTGATGGATCAACTATATCCAAAGGGAGTGGGTGTTCATTAGGCTGTCAGTTTTTTTCCAAAAATTGTAATAGGATTAGCTGGTGTATTCTTCTCATAGAATTTTAATGTAATAGATCAGTCATCAATATAGTAGTTTATGTATTAATGAATCATAATGTAAATTTCTGACTTTTGAAAGCTTTTAGTTTTGCCTAATGTACTGTAACTAATTAAACTCTGAGTTTACATATTGTGGTTAAAACCACTACGGTTAGGAACTTGTTAATTAATTACTTTGTTATTGTTTTTTTTTGGTTCAATACTTTGTTATTGTATTTTTGTAATGTAAGCACAATTTTGCAATAGCTAAGGTTATGGACTAAAGGCTGAAATTGAGCATTTCTGTCCTGCGATTCGGATGGGCCAGACATACAAACTGGCCCAGTTAAGAAAAAATGACTTCGCCTAAGTCTGAATTTAGGCCAATAGGCCTGGGCATTAAGCCCAATAAGCTTGACTCCAAGTACAGGCCTGCTTTTAAAATTACATCATTAACTTATGATCGCTTAACTTATTCCCTCTATGTACTGTTAAGTCATGTATAGTATAATCAATTTCATAACTCAAATTATTTTCTGACTTTATGTTAGAATGAATCGAATACTAGTTGGGACAAATATGTATGTCGTGCTAGTTTGTTGGCCTCAGCCGCAAAGCCGTGACAGGCCTAGTCAGTAAATAATCGTGACTGGGCCAGCCTGATGTTAGCCCAAGATGAGACAACCATGGTCAAATTAGGACCTGGCAAAGTCGTTGAGGTTCTTTTTACTTCAGAGCTTAATTTCGAGCTCAAGTAGCCTCAATGCCGTTATTCCTTCGATCAAATAATCTAGTGGGCTTACTGCTGGCCCAATTTCTTTGTCCAAATAATTAAAGGTGCAACACATCTACCCCAAACATGTATATAATTAGTAGCCTTATATTGAACTTCGAATTAGTTTTAAATATAAACATTCGTAGTTTGTTTTAGCCGCGATTAATAAACCATCATGATTATGGGTACGATTCCCATGACATAGTTACAATGCCTAATTCCAAAATTCGGGTGTGCATTTCATGTAAGCCGACCATAACACCCTTAATAATAATAAAAATAAACATGTCGCGAATCGCGGGTGCATTTCATGTAGCGTGGTTTGCGGTGTGTTCCAAAACGGCAATTATACGACAATCGTAACTTGTTCAAGAAATAATTCCATAAATTCTAAAAGCAGTTAAATAAATAAAAGCGGTTATAAAGTTAAAAATGCACAATAGGTTTAAAACTAGTAATTAATCACATAATTAGGCCAATCATTAATAGTTAAGCGACCGTGCTCGAACCACGGAACTCGAGAATACCTAACACCTTCTCCCGGGTTAACAGAATTCCATACCTAGTTTTCTGGTTTCGCAGACTTCTAAATAAAGTCGATTTTCCTCAATTTGGAATTTAAAATAAACCGGTGACTTGGGACACCATAATAAATATCTCAAGTGGCGACTCTGAAATAAAATAAATAATCACATTTCAAATTATGTCACTTTAATTGAAAAAACTCCCTTATATCCCCCCTCGGGTGTAAAAAGGAGGTGTGACAGTTGTGATTTGTGATTGTGTTCAACAAAAATAAAACATTCAATTTGAAAAACGAAATAAATTTTGGCAATCGACTTAAGGATTAATACTAACTCCCGCCTTAACTTCGCTTAATATCATCTTAAAACGTTTTATAGCGTGTTTAGACATGAAAAGGAAGGAGGAACAGAAAATAAAAGGAAAATTGAGAAAATCAAGAACAACAATTTTCCTTTCTTTGTTTGGTATGAGGGACAGAAAAGGAAAAATTGGCAACCTTTTCCTTACACATGCAGTGAAATTAGGCCAAAGAAGGAATCTCCCTTGCTATCACTCCCCTGTTCTGCTAGTCATTTACCAGGATGGCTCAAGTTTACTTCAATGAGTAAACTATATATGACTGTATTTCCTAGTTCATTTGTTGCTAATTTTACAAAAAGATATTTGAAGTCCCCTTTCTTTTCTTTTTTTTCCCTATCAAGATACACTATAGGACAAAAATGTTCTAAGATATATCAACATTTTAGGATACAAGTCTTTGCCTCATCCATTTAGTAGCTGACCACTTCTCTCCTGAGAGTACTTCACATCCTCCATGTAAACTCTCAGGGTCAGATTGTCCATCAAGCCCCTGGCATTAAAAAGAAAACAGATACCAGTGATCAATCATTGACAAAATGGAACATATGGTTTCATACAACAAAAGAACTTCATAAATATAGAAACTAAAGCACTTCATGTCCTGAACTTAGTGACAAGTTCTCTATTCATCCTCTTAAGCCGAGGGTCTTTCGGGAACAACCTCTCTACCTCCCCGGGGTAGGGGTAAGGTCTGGGTACACACTACCCTCCCCAGACCCCACTTCTCCACTTCTGGGATTTTACTGGGGTTTTTTGTTGTTGTTGTCCTGAATTTAGTGACATGCAGAAGTGCCTCGATCACACGCCTAATGCCCATTTTTGAGATTCCTTCTTTTCTTCCTTTTTTTCTGATTCTATTACACTGGGGGATCAGGAATCAAGGAAGGCCGGGAAGGGGGAAAGAAGACAGTGAGAATTGAACCCACACGCTACACCTTGGTACTTCTTTTTTTCAGGAACTAGGGAGATAATATCGGGCAAACTGATTATGTGGAGTCGACCATTTTACATACAAACATGAAAAACATGTGTAAGTTTGTTGCGCATAGTTAAAAGCTCGTACGTTAATAATCCTCATTTAAAGTTATAATATCTCATGCTTTGGCTATAGATAACCAAAGTAACCTATGGCAGAAGCTTTTATTAGTCTAATACCTGTAAAAAGATTAGTAACCCTGTCACCTTCAATCAAAGATTAGTAACCTTATCTGTATCAGGCAAATAAATGAAATAATAGTCCTCATATCCCCTCATGTCAAGATGATGCATAAAGGAACTAGATTCAAGTAAAGAGACTTTTGCTTGAAATACTGGACATGTGACAGATTACGGATGCCAAGTCAAACAACTAACAGGATATGCAGTTATTAAAATCTTAAAAGCAACTAGGCCAACATTTGCGGAGTAATTTATAGATGAAATCTTTGTGAAAAGTTCCAGCAAAAAGGTCATATGGTAGGTGAAGACACTAACCATGCTCCAAAAAAGAACAGCATCTCCTTTAGTAGGTTTTACACATAACCCTTTGATCATTTTGCCACCACAGCTACATTCACCAGTGCCAGCCTGAAGACAGCATTGCCAAATTGAAACACAAGCATGAAATTAGAAACGTCGAAAAGAAAAAGTTAAATGTGCAACAGAGATGGAAAAGGAAAAAATTTGGAAGAATCAACATGCATGGTCACAGGTGCACCGAAGTTGGAATAAGAAGCATGCATAGTCTGGTATCACAAGCAGTTTTATCTTTAAGAAATACAGAGGCGAGAAACTTAAGTTGACCTATCATCTTCATCGTCTTCAGAGAAAACACATAACAAGACAAACTCACTTTTAGGCATTTAACCCCAAAGCTATAGTTTAATTTCTGTTATTTCTCCCTGAAATACTGTGCTCAACAAATTTTGTACGCAGTTTTATCTGAAATAAGCCAATTTAGTCCTTTTCGAGATGTACTGAACAAAATCAAACAAAAAGTTAGAATCAAACAGTAAGTTAACTCAATAGAATTTTTACACCCTCCACCCCATTCTTTCCTTCTATGCTGCCTTTATAGACCCTGCAAACTATTCCTACGTCGTACAACCTTCTCAGAATTGCAAAACCACCATAAACCGCATTAGCTATTAGGAATACAATAATTTGTAGGGGGTAGCAATAGGATTACAGGGTGCCGGAGAAGGTTAAAGGCTATAAATTTTGGTTTGATTAACATGGACGATTTTTAGAATTATAATTCATTTGCTCGGACAAAAAATGGTTAGATGTTCTGGCGAGATAACACAAGGGCATAATTTTAGTCCAACATATTCTCTAAGAATTACAAAATTGCTTGCATGATACAGAGTAATTCTGAAATTGCTAGTAGGTGAACTTTCAATTGTCACATCTTTCAACTATGAAACGAAAAGAAATCAAGTATCCAAACGTTTGAGAACTTGGACAAAAGATGGAACATCTACTGACTCTCCAACATAAGATCAACAGCAACTATCTTATAAAAATATAAATTAAAAAAAAAAAAAAAGATAAGCGAATCTATCATTCTTATTCACTGTAGAATATGCTGAAGAAAGTTGCATCCATTAGGGTAATTCTGCTGGAGAGCGATTTCATTATCCCAAACACAAACAGCAAGTTATAACGAGCATTCAAGCAACATTCACAAGACATATTATCCTGGTGGAAGCATCATACATGGAACATAAAATACAAAAAAGACACTAATAGCAGCAGAAAGCTCTTGCAAAAACCCCTCCAGAGACTAAATATTAGCAAAAACAAACTAATTCCTCCAGAAACTACTAGTTATGCAATTTTTCTCTTTTTGTAAAATATCTTCTGCTAATCATCTAATTGACTGAATATGATTGAATGCATCTGATAATAGATACATTTCAAACAATCCAAGTGGAGTACTCTACCAGAGACAATAAAGTGTCAATCATACAGGAAAGAAGTTTTCAATCAAGGTTTCATGAGTAATTACCATAGGAAAGTATGTCTCTCCCCCCTCAATGCCGTCGCTCAAATACATGAGCATTGTTGCTATTCGTTGACCTCCACGCTTCACATTAAACTGCAAAATAAAGTAAGTGAATCACTCAGTTTGACAACAGTAAATTGATATGTGAAAAGAGATCTGTCCAAATGACAAATAGAAAACAGAAAAATAAGCCAATAGTAGAAATAACAAACTAATAAATTGGAGTAAGAACTTACTGAATCAGAGAAATAGTCGTGATGGGCTCTATAGAACTGATTCTTTTCATACCTGTGCTTCTGCAGATGTTAGCCTTGATACTTGAACATATCAGCTTTCCATCTCATTATGAAAAACAGAAAAATGCAAATTCTCATAATACATACCTTAACACTTGAATGAGTTCCCCATTTTCAACTGGTATTTGAGAATATACAGAAATTCGTTTTTCAATTGCCTGGAAGTACAGGAATGCAAAGAAAATCACCAATGTAAGACCAACTTTTACTATCAATACCAATCACCACATAATCGGAATGTTATTTTATACACAAGAAAAAATGCAAGTGGAAGACAGGGGAACCCAAGTGGGATAAAAGAACCTTGTTAACTCAGCAAGATATTGCCAAAGATAGTAGCATATCATGTTGAGCTTTGAATAAGAAGAAGAAAGAACAAGAGGAGTTGAAAGGACCCGTGTGCTTTACAGACCTGTATCATGGGATACTTCCTCTCATCAGGGCTCAAAAACATTCCCGAACTTGTTCTGACATCACTCTTAATTCCCTAGCGAACAAAACAAAATTATCAGTCAAATTGGACTTCCATGCACATAACAACAAGGACAGAAAATCACAAATACCTTGCATAGCACTTATAAAAACTACAGCGATATAAGATTAGACTAGTAAGAAAGGGGTTCCTAAAATTACAAATCATGTAGTTTGAACCTAAAGCAATAGCACGGAGGACGATTTCATTATCTAGTTGATTGACAAAGGTTTGAGCTGAACTAGTCTTCAGGGGGACATTCTTAAAAGTAGAGGTCGTTTAACTTTAGAAAAAGCGTGTTTATCATCAGAAAATTTCTGTCCATCAGTGGTTGTTCCCGTATTCTTCAACAACTCGCTCCTTCAAATTAGAAGAGCTAAAAGCATGTCTTTTTTTTTTCCTCTTAGGTGGTTTCTCCTTGTGACGAGGAGAGAACTAATCAACAATTTTATTTTATTTTTGGATTAAGTATAGGACTTCATGCCACAGGGATTAGTTCAAGTGACAAAGGTTGAGGGACTTGTGACTTAGGTCACAGGTTCGAGCCCTGCGCTATGCAAACTAAGCCAGATATTTAAGTGGAGAAGGGTAGACGGCTGCCCCATTATTCCCGAGTTTCAAAGGCTACGATTGGTCCAAAGGATTGGCCCTAGACGGATTTTAGAGTCATCAAAAAAAAAGAGTAAAGAATTTCATTAACAAGCATCCGGAGGATTATGTTACCATCTCAACAAACAAGAAAACAAGCATCCAGAGGATGCAAATAAGTGCAGAAAGGATATAGCCCTGTACAGTGATTCTGACAATCTAACGAAATTCATAAGATGATCCAAATTATTTACACCGCACAATTTGCGCAAGTTTCATTAATTCCGGCGACTTCCGAACAGCTTTCCGGCGGGACGCAGCAGGACTGTCAGTGATCTTGAGCAGATCCGACATACTTCAGGAAAACTTGCTCCAGGTTCTTTCGTTCTATCTCTGGTATTCGTGGTATCGGTATTTTTTTCTTTTTTGCTTGCCTGTATCTTTGACATCTACAGTATCCTGTTTTAAATTATATTTAGTTAGACTTTGTTAGCGGAAACGTAAAAGAAAGAACACAAGATTTAACGTGGTTCGGATCAAAATAAT